GCGTCGCGTTCCACTGCTTTCCTTTTGCTTTGTGCAGTGCATCCACAGCTACTTTGCTAGCAGTGCTCATTTCCCCCCTCAGGTCCGTCTGTTGGCGCCGAACTTCCTCCGACTGCCTGGCCATGGTGATCGCCTTGGTGAGAGTGAGTTGGCTATCCAGCTGCATTTTCTGAGACAGCGCTGTGTCTCTAATGCCCACCACCAATCTGTCTCGTAGCAGTTCATCATGTAGGGAACCATAGTTGCAGCTTTCTGCTAGGGCATAAAGTGCTGTGAGGAATGCGTCGACTGATTCGGTAGGTTGCTGTACTCGTTGGTTAAACTTAGCACGTTCATAAATAACGTTTTTCTTCGGGACGAAGTAACCGTCAAATCCCTCCTTCACTGCATTGTACTGCAAACGCTGCTGCTGGGTTAGCACTAGCCCTCTTAGCACGTCGTCCGCCTCATCACCCATGCAGTAAATTAGCGTGTTAACTTGGTTAGCCTCTGAAGAACAGTTCAAATTACTTGCCAGCCGGAATCTCTCGAAGCGACGAATCCATTTCTCCCATTCGTGCGGTTTAGAAAAGTCAAACGGTTCCGGTGGCTTTATGGTAAACGTTGCACACGGTATGCTAGCCGCTCCTTGGCTTTCCGTTACAGCGTTAGCCATATAACGGTCTGTAACGTTAGCATCTTCGTGGTGGTCCCCCGACGCTTCAACGTTCCCCTGCTGCTGCTCTCGCTCACTCATACTCGCTTGATGTCTCCTCTGTCGCCGTCTGGCACTAGATCCTGGCATTCACGCTGTCTCTTGTCCGCAGGTCGTGAAGTCTACACTTCTGACACCATGTTGTGTGATTCAAAGTAAACGTTGAAAGAAAACACGGAACAACCGGCGTACGTTTCTGTTCAACTGTATTGAATAACTGACGTTCTGATACAATGCTCTGCCTTACATACCAAGGGACTCCGGTTCCCTCCAGTGGTCACATTTTGGTATTACACATACAGGTCTTATCACATAACACTGGTTAACATCACAGGACCCAGAATTCGAGGCGAGACAGGCAGTGGGAAAGTTCAAAGCGTTTATTTAACCAAACAGGTGCGCGGGGCTGCTCGTCTGCTGCGGGGCGGCTCTCTGCAGAAATGGGAGAATACAGATCAGTGACTGGATATGGAGTTTAACACGACTTGGAGCAAAGTCACTGACCTGATTCAAAGTTCAGTCCGTTTGCTGAGGTTTGACCGCAGTAGCGGCGGGAGACGCCCCCAGAGTTCCTTGAGAGCGCGCAGCAGACGCCGAGCAGCAACAGAGTCCAGAGGGGAAATCCAAGGCCGAAGTCAGACGACAGTTCCAGGTTCAGAAGCCGGTAGAATCCAGGATCAGACAGGACAAACAGAGCAGACAGGGGCAAGGCAAAAAACTCGAAATCCTCAGGGCAGAAACTGGTCACTATCAGGGAAACAGGCAGACTACAGATTGCTGGGGAACGTATCTCAAAAACACAAGAATAACCCGGCGCTGATGGGAGGCAAACGCACAACTTAAATAGTAGAGGAACCAGGTGGAAATGATCGGCAATAATCAGCCGCAGAACCAATTAGACAGGAAAGCAAGGAGCAAAGGAAAAAACCAAACCATCAGCGCCGAGATCATGACAGTTGAGGAGTGTGATCCCTATAGTTGGAACACAACCTCAGCTGAGCCTTTCTCATGCAGGGGAACCACAACCCAAGTCTGCCAGTCCAGGGGTACTGTCCCTGACCTCCACTGGATGTTGAAGAAATTTCAGTATTTTAGAATACATTCATTTTATGTACATATGGTTGTGTTATATGGTGGGGGGGGGATCAAACATATATGATTAGATAAATTAAGTAAAAAACAGGCCACCTAAAAAAAAATATATTAAGGTAATTTGGGACTTAAAAGGCTTCAGATAATACGAGTTTTTCTTTAGACCGAAGTCCTTTTGTGTACTGTATGGTGTTAACAGACGGGTCATCAGCTGCTCGTCTGAGCTACCAGTTTGTTTATAGTCGATGAACTCTGGTCCTCGCCGTCGGTCCAGTTCCTAATATCCCAAGCTTATTTTAGGATCAAACAGCTTCTTGTGTTTGGTGTTCCAGAGGCATCTCTTTGCTCTGACTGTGTCACATCTGAGGACTGTCTCTGGTCTTTGGAAGCATGCTGCTCAGGTTGGAGGAGATAACAAGGAGCTCTTAAAATAAGACATTTAAAAATTTTAAATAAAAATAAAAAGGGATATTTGTAATTTCTGATAAATAAATTTAGAGCAAAAACAAGTTCATTTCTACAACATCCCTCAGCAAATAACAGTCTGAATGGGTCTCAGACTCGACTGTTAGAATTTTTACTTCCTTTTCTGTTAAAACTGTACTTAGTTCCCACTGGTCTGGATCCGTTTGCTGGATCCTCCTTTTGTCATCCTCATATTTCCCTTTACTCTTTCAGTGTTCTCCTTGTGACTCTACCTGTGTGTTGTCCTCTGAATCTTTGGTCCTTTACCCAATCGTCAAACCAGGACAGTAAATTTATGGGCATAATCATAAAACAAAAATCTAAGGATTAATGTTTTATTGTTTTTTTTAAATAATTTAATTCATTTTATCTTCTACCAGCTTACAGATTCTGATACCAGCTCTGGATCCCATTTACAGTCTGTTGGTGCATTCTGGTTTCTGTCAAAGAGCTGTCAAGGTGTAGCTTCTGAAAACTGTAAAACACAAATATAATTGACTCAAACGTCACTGATAGTTATGATTGAATCGACACTGAAAAAAATTAAGAAAAACCAAGTAATTCTTAAAAATTTACTTAGATATACCGGCAAACAAAAAACAAAAACAAGGTTCAAACACAAAGAAAAGACTAGACACTTAACATCAGACTGTGACTATAGTAACACAATGAACAACCCCAAATACTTTAACATTTCATTAAAAATTTAAGTTAATCTTGTTGAAACAATTGCATAAAATGTATTAGTAGTTCAATAATCAATATATTAATAGATCTCTTAATTTGTGGCTTGGGGCAGAAAAACCCTGTAGGTTTATGCTTGATGTTTATTTAAAGACTGACCAGTGTCTAAATGTTTTCTGTAAATTTATTTATGTATCTATGTGATAAAAATGGGCCAAAAACTTTTAGAGTCCTTTTTGACATGCAGGGCTTTCTAGAAATGGAGCCATTTTCTTCCCCTTGGCTGAGTTATTGAGGGGATGTCTGATGAAGTTTACAGTTAGGCATGAGGGTGAGGGAAGGGTCTGCTTTTGGCTTGGAGGGGGGCGACCCCCATGCCGCTCGGGTTCAAATGCTTCCCTTTCTCAGAACTTGCCGCGCATGTGGCGGAGTGATGGGGGTAGGGGGGCGGCATCTAAAAGAGGTGAAGAGGAGAGCGATTTGACTGGAATGCCGGGACCTCAGGTTACCACTGAGCAGAGCGGTGCCAAGTCGTATGCACCCACTCATGAAAAGACACACCCATGTAGTAATTCATATCACTCCCACTATGGCAGGACGGGAGCCACGTGGCCTGTCAGGATGCTATTAATGTTGGTCCTTTGCTTTTGATCTTTATTTAAATGAATCTACATTCATATAGTTTAACCTCTAATGCATCTAACACTGATCCGACTCTGAGTCTGCTGCATAAGCACATCAGTTTACATCCACATTCACACTCCTGCAGGTATAGAACTAGTCTGGTTAAGGTCATTTAGGTTCCAGCTAACCACAGACCTCATGTTAGGCTGAATCAGGAGCCCCATCTCCTTACTATCACCTCTTGTGGCCCCATCCTATGAAGGTCCACGCAGATGTTTGAGTTTTCTGTGATTTGGTGTCTGAGTTTGTACCACTTGCTTTACCTGAAAGCAACATGATTGTGCAGAGTCTGATTGAACACACTAAATAATAGACATTTTAAAATGATTTGAGGCCCAAAGTTTGAGTCCTGCCCCACAGGTCTGAGGGATGATTTTCCACTTTAATGGTTGCGAGGCAAGAATTATTTGTGCCATTTTATCCTAATTTCTAAACTTTGATCCAACTGTATGATGTTGTCCAGGTGAACATTTAGTAAATCACTAACTCTCAAGTTAATTTCTCATGCTGGTTTAAAAGCAAAATATATATATAATGGTTTTAAATAAAGCTTTAAAAATAAAAAGTGAGTCGGCATGCCTGTCAAATGAAGGTAATCTGTTTCCTTGGTCACTTTTCTGCCCATGCTATGTCTTTAGAAAATACTTCTGATCTTCACACCTGAGCAAGTGAAAAGATGAAGTAGGTGACAGATTCTCTGGGGCAAGCCAGTTTTGAAATCAATGCAAAAACAAACCCATATTGTCTGAATTCCTGCTAAACCACAAATATATTTGCTCCTGTTTCGTTGTATCAGTTAAAAGTGGTGAAGTCACTGAAGTTCTGTTTAGCCCAGTGTTGTTCATTTCACTTGTCTGAGTAAAATGTAATAAAATGATGAATTGAAATTTCAAAATAATTTTTTAAAGATCAGTTTAACTTTTTCAAATCTGAACATCAAAGTTAGGATAGCCCTTCAGTCTTACACTCAGTGACCCGTCTGTAGCAGTAACCTGCACTTATTGCTCAGGCTTAATACATTGAAGGACTTGGTTTTTATTCTGGTCCACCTGCTGTAGGTTCTACTGCTTTCAAGCAGGACCCTCTATTAGGTGGTTCCATTTTTTTGTGCTCTTTTTGAGATCATAAAGTGTTTTGATAAATCTCCGTACAGTGAAGATTGTTCCAGTTCTGGTTCTAATCAGTTTTAATCAGATATGATCTAAATTAGTTTGAAAACAGTGCATTGCCTCTTTAACTCTTTGCTAAAGTAAACAGTGCCAATCACAGGCCGACTTTTTAAATGTTTCTTTCTTGGACCACATGAAATGAAAAATGAATATTTAGTTTTCCATCATAGTTCTGACACGTCTAATGAGCCTTTCTGTTCTTCTGCCACCAGATGACTCCAGCGTGAGGAATGGAGCTGGGGAACCTACAGGGGACTCTGTGCACCCCCCAGACCTGGCAGGGAAACTAGGTATAAGCAATCTCAACACTGATAAACACTCAAATAAACACAGCAGTTGGTTCAGACTGTGCTGGGATCATACTGAGGTCTAGTTTGTAAAATATCATAGTTTTGTTATTAACTAACTTATATTTTTATATTTCTGAATCTAGACAAATATGCAACTTTTACCTTAAAACACTCTTTACTCTGAAATATAAACAGTTTGTCCGTCAGACAGTCTGGAGGATGGCTGCTCTAATCCCAACACTCTTCTTCAGTCTATGGATCTTAGAGGGATCCTCTGTGGTTTAATCCTGATCTATATAGAAATTTTTAAGAAACTCTGGATTCCAGAAGTTTGGAAAAAACATGAAAAACCCTGAAATGATTAAATCAATGAAAGAGAGCTTACTTTGTGTAAACTCAGGCTCAGATGAAATACCTGACACGTTGTCAGTGTTTTATGCTCTACTACCTGAGGATGGATGGTGAATAATTTTTTTGTGTGTGTGTGTGTCCTGTTTAGCCAATGTAGCTCTGGGAAATATTGTCCCAGAGATAGCTAATAGCCCAACAGATCTGCTTTCACAATCAGACCAGCATGACTGTTGCCTTAAGATTCTGCTTCATATTTGTATATTAAAAATGTTTCAATATTATTTGGGGAGTAATATCGTACACAACAGACACGGGAAGAGAAGTGCGAAAGAATGAGGGGAGAAGAACTAAGGGGACAGATGGAGAGAGTTAAAAATAAGTCAAAGAGCAAAAATAGACAACACAGAAGATTTACAGTAACTCCTATAAGTCTACTTCCATACCTGTATCAGATGAGAGGAACAGAAAACAGAGAGCATAACAGCAAAGAGAAGACAACAGACCACCAAAGTAAACTTGACAAAGCTTTTTCAGAAGGAAATTATGCTTAGTAGCAGGTGTCTGCAGCCCCAGGTTAGCCCTACGTACAGGACCCTGGACAGAAGAAGAGGCAATGCTATCCCCATTATCTGGAGGGACCCCACTGGGACACAAGGAGGGCAGACATAGGGATTGCTGCACCCATTCGAGAAGGGCAGATGGGAGCACCCAGAGCCCGACCCCAGCCACTAGGAATCAGACAGCACCCACTGAAGTACCCCAACCCAACACCCAGAGAACTGTCAACACACCAGCAGACATGGGAACCTGTGATTGGTAGGGAGCATAAAAAAAGGGGAAGGATGCAGGGCCTGCTCATACTTGGGCCTAGGACTTGCAGTTTGGGAGGCAAACACCCAATCTGACAAGTAGACAGAAACAACTTCACATCATTCACATCAACCAGTTGCATTCACACAGTCCCACCCTTACACCCACACGGACATATACATGTACACAATAAAGGCGCAGACACTACACATATTTTTACAGTCTACATACATACACTATCCTCCAATAGAGCATGAAACGGGCCTTGAAAGTCAGCCCGAAACAGACCCGAGTCCGAAAGAACCAGGCCCGTGCCCGGCCCGGCCCGTTATGATTGACAGCTTCGTAGAGCCCGACCCGTTTGCAGCCCGACATTTTTCAATTGTGCGCATATCACAATCAGTCAAGAATGAATCATTTTTGCTGTATATTTTTACTATTTTTATTCAGAATAGTTAGCCTAGATGTCTGAACAAGAACTTAATTCTAGGCTTAAATATATTCTCTGACCAAGGAAGTTAAAAGAAAAAATAACAAGCATCAACAAAAAAACAGCGGTATTTTATCTTAACATGACCCACGCGAGGCAAATAAAAATCTTGCGCTTGATTAATCTCCTGTAAGCCTATGCTACATTTTTATTATTCTTTATTCAAAGTAAGCCCACAGATGTTTCACTTCTGTAACATCCATTTTGCATTCATCGCGTATAGATCGAACGTTATCACATGATCATTTATTTGCCGCACATATAACGGTTTAAAGCCCGAGCCCGGCCCGGCCCGAATGAAATAATAAAAAGTACAGCCCGAACCCGCCCGAACCCGGCAGGACCTCTCGGGTCCCGTCGGGTTCGGGCTTATATTCCCTGCTCTATCCTCCAAGGTCTGAGGGCAAACTCTTCTAGGGGGAGCAGACCCAGGAGGAGATCATTAGACCTCTCAGTGCCAGAAAAAAATATATATATTTTAAAAAAGATATGTTACGTTAAAGTGAGGAGGGCCCTGGCTGGATGAATTAACATTCCCTCTGCAACAGTATGGAAGAACATTTCCTTCTCCTTCCAGGATTCTTCACCTTTCAGATCTGATGCAAATTGTAGTCAGTTCTGCTTTGCCGACCGTATAACTATTTAGGTGGCATTGAATGCAGCATGGATCTACCTAAAGGTAACTGACTTTTCTCTTTCTACAGCTAAGGATAACTTGAGGACTTTTGCGTTCAATGCAGAATCCCATTCTACTCTTCTAGTTCTTGACTCATAAGAACATAGCTCAACATTAGCTACCCTAATATGTCTAATGTGACAGACAGTTATGTTATGCAGATCTAGCTGTCTTTGAACCTTTTTTTTTAGCATTAACAGATGAAACAAAGATAGAATGAAGCAGGTTTCTTTATTTTTAAACCTTTAATTTAGGAAATAGTTAGGATTTTAGATGTTTTTTTTCCAGCAGGGATCCGTGATTCTACTCTGGTCTCTGATTATTTCAGACTTGACAGCTAACCAAAGACCAAGCCTGTCATCGTTTTGCAGGAACTCTATTTTTTTCCTCTGAAAAAGTAGTATGGCCTTCATTCTAGCATATTCTCCTATTCAGTGCTTATAGCTTTAGGCAGTAATGTATTCCAGCCCACAAAACTCCTCTTCCTCTCAGGATGCCGACCTTTCCATTGGGATCGGTCCAAGTAGTTCCTGTCCTCCTGGGTTTTTAGTCGTCTTTCCTCTGAACCCGTGCCCAATGCGTCTCCTTCCAGAAAACCCAGCAGTCTCTCTGCACCACATTGCTTTATAGCTTCCTCCTCTAAAACCGTTTCCAGAGGCAACCTTATGTCTTCCACATTCAAGAACCTTCTCAGTTGGACTCAATCCATGAGGCCTCCTCAGAATATGGACCTCTTGAGATCACTGTGTGTCATGAAGATGTTGTAAATAAGATTGGGCCATATGTCAAAATTTTCTAACCAATATTCATCAGTCCAACAAAAACTTATGGACAATATATTCGTGCAGGCGAAGAAATGCACACCTTCAGAGTGCGCCATCTGAACCACTGGATAGTATTGTTACCCATCTAGGAGCACATTGCTAAAACCCAATAAGGTAAACATGCTTGTTAGCAGGTCAGAAATGTAACTTTCATCCAATGGAAATAGTTTAATCTTTTCAAGTTCTGTTATGACTATGTTATGAGACATTATACTTTTTCGTTGTATTTTCTTTGTATGAAAGCTCAAAATATAAAAGACTGGGGCATAGATTTCTCTTTTTTTATGGAAAGCGAACAGCTCAACTGGAGGAGAAATTTTATTTTGTGTTGTTGGTAAATTTTTTATTTGTGATAAAAACAAATCCATAAAGCCGATGGAGCTTCCTGTAAACACACACAAAAACAGCCTCTCTCTGGTTTTGTCATGATTTTATCAAGAGCTTGGACCCACATGCAGAGAGACCAATTCAGAGAGACCAGGTGAAAGGTTTAACAGATTTATTTAGGAGTTTGTGAAGAATCCAGTGTTGCTCTGAACACAGCTCAACCGTAACTGAAAGGTGAGGGGAAGGCACTGCGGTTAGTTCAGGCTCAGTAGGAATTTTGATTCTCGAACTTGAAGAGGAGAATTTGGTAGATAACTCACGTTTCCAGAGAAGTTGCTGACTCTTAGACTCCAGTCTGTGTGCGGAGGTTTCAGTGTTTGTCTGATTCGGTGGAGGGCGGACAGGGGTTACCCAGAATGCGGTTTTTAGAAGGCGAACGGAGAAGCTGACTGGCACTCAGATTTCCTGCGGTACTTGAACGGGTCGTAGTGGAGATGAATCCCTTACTCAGTATGAAGCTCAAATGATCTCTTGAGGGAAAGTGGATTCAAACCTCCTGTTTGAATACTCAACTTTTTTTGAAGCTCAGATGATCCTTCCAGGGAGAGAAGGCCCGAAACATCCTGTTTGCAGGATGACTTTCTGCCGAGAGGCAAAGACAAGACAAGCGTCGAGGTAGTGGCAGTCAGCAGCTTAAGAGCGCTCCATTAATGAGGTAACTCACAGCAGGTGTGTGGAGAGGCGGACCAGAACGAGGAGCGTCCTGGTGGAGAAAGGGGGACAAACACAGAAAAAACACACACAGACAGGAATCCTGACAGGTTCTTGTTTGGCAGTTAACAAAAAATAAGCTAGTCTCTGCTTCAGATCGGTTCTGTCTGTCTCAGGTTTAAGTAGATAAATCGCTGCGGCACGATGGCACTGGCGAAGAAAGCTGCAGCTGGAAGGAGAGTGTGTGTACCATTAAAAACATTATTCTTTTATGTCGTGGACTGCGTCTTAACCTGTAGATCCCAAAAAAAAAGAAAAAAAAAAACCCTCCTAAAAAGCGATCGTCGAAGCTGAGTCTATTGCCGATGGTCGAATAATAGATTCGTCCAATCGCCCATCCTTACTGTAAACTGAACCAGAACATCCTCCCTGACCTTTCTGCTGGGTTCCTTGGTGATCGTGATGCTGGTTGTTCTCCAACGTTCTCTAGAGAACCTCTGAGACCAAAGCCAATTAGAATCAGAGAAAATGATACAAAGCTGCACGCTGATTTCTGAATACGACTCCTCTGAAGCCGGCTGACATCTTTTGCTTTTATTTTAGGTATCAGTGTAAAGAGGGCAGAAAAGACATACACATTTACCTTCTCAGATTGTAATCTCTCCTTCCTTTCCTTAATGCGTAAATATGAAAATCTTTGTGAACAAATAATCACTTATGTGCTTTTATTGCATTAAATGAACATTTTGTTGAAACTAAATCAGTCTTCGTGTTAAATACTGTCTAATGGGGATCTGTATAGCAGAATTTCTCCCTTTCTCTCCCTCTCTGGCACAGTGTTGGGTCGGAGGCGTCAGCTGGGGGTTGGGGGGGTCTGCAGTATTTTTACACTGTGAAGTGTGGCCCTGAAGTGGCCGCTAAGGCCCAGAAGAAGCTGGCCTTTGGCTCACTCTGCCTCTCGTCTTCTCTCACTCCTCACTTGGCCCAAATCTGCTGTTTTTCTTTTCTTCTCATTCTTTTCACAACCACCTTCACATTTTATTGTTTCGATTCATTTTTCCTTCTCTGCTTCTCAACTCCTGCTTTAGCTACTTCTTTTTTACAGTGTGCTGGACTAGCATGTGATAAACTCTGTTTTCTCCATCTGACTTCATCATTTTAGTCCCTTTTTTGGAACCTCCTCATACTAAAAGTCTACTTTTTTTGTGGCTTTACAGTAGTTTCCAGCTTAGATCATATTCATGCGATCATCAAGAGTCGAATTTTTAAACATGGCATCTCTTTTTCCCCTCCTGGTGAATTTACTGACTGGCTGGTCACAGTTCAGTTGTAGTCCAGTAGCCTTCTCAGGCTAAGAGGGTACAAAAGGCGAAACTTAAAAGCCTTCCCAGTATGTTTGCTTTGTCATCCTTCCCAGCTTTGAGCCGCTTGATGGAGGCTGAACTCTACTGAGTGATGCAGATGTAGAGAGATCTCCCCATCTGAGCGCACGAAGCCGCCACATAACTCTTCCCCGCGTTTGTTTACCCAGAGCTGGAATAATAACTGTGTCTGAAGAAAGAGATGCAGACGCGGTAGTTTGGGGTGATTTATCCTCCTGGCTGATGGCTATCTGCTGCGGCTGGGACATGGAGGCTATAAAACCAAGCTCTTCTGTGAGGGATATCCTCTCCTCTTGCCCTACTGGATAGTTTCTACCTCTTTGATCTGTTTTTACTGATTGCTTTTCACAGAGGGCATTTGTGTTTAGGCAGGTTCTGGGATTCAGATAAGAATGGGTCAGTGTACAGATTCTTTATGCAAAAGTTATTTTAGCAATTAGTTAATAGAGGAGGAGGTTCAGAGATGTGTTTTCTCCTAGCCAAATCAGCCCAAAGTTCTACTACGGTATAGGCTGGTTGATAAACCATATTTTTACAATTACCGTCATTCACTATGATAACTGGTGAGATTTTCCCATGTCGGTAAAAGAAATAAGCTTTGACGTTTTTGCTGTGTGCGCTGGTGGCTGGTTCCTTCCCCTTTAAGGAATAGTACACCCAGAACATGATTAGCCTTCATTTTCTACTCACCCCCATGCTGAACAACACTCTGGAGTACTTTTTTGATATCTCAAATGCATCTGGAGATCCGGGAGGCTTCTTGCTGTCTGCTGACATTCAAATAATGGAGGTCTATGGTGCCCGAGGCAGAAAGGTCCATAAAAGCCCACAAAAAACGTGTCAATATTCCTCCATACTGCTCGTCCAATGTATTCCAAGTGTCCTGAGTGGGTAGCATCCAGAATTTACTCGAAACGAAGTCATTTAGAATGTTTTTAGAGCATAAACAGTAGTGTATAGGATTTCCTAAAAGCGCGTTCACGAGTCTACGGAAACCGCGGCAGACCAAACCAGATGAAAGTGCGCATTCAGCTCAGCAAAGAACTTATGCTCTTCCTCAACACTGAAGTCCTCAGACATTTTTCTTTCGTTGTTTCTTTCTTTGCACAGGTAAACAGCACATTTCTTCTTCTACGCTTGCATTATTGGCAGAGCAGACGCTGAATGCGCACTTTCATCTGGTTTGTTCTGCCGCGGTTTCCGTAGACTCGTGAACTCTCCTTTAGGAAATCCTATACACTACTGTTTATGCTCTAAAAACATTCTAAATGACTTAGTTTCGAGTAAATTATGGACGCTACCCACTCAGGACAGTTGGAATACATTGGACGAGCAGTATGGAGGAATATTGACACGTTTTTTGTGGACTTTTATGGACCTTTCTGTCTCGGTCACCATAGACCTCCATTATTTGAATGTCAGCAGACAGCAAGAAGCCTCCCAGATCTCCAGATGCATTTGAGATATCAAAAAAGTACTCCAGAGTGTTGTTCAGCATGGGGGTGAGTAGAAAATGAAGGCTAATCATGTTTTGGGTGTACTATTCCTTTAAAGACGCTGCATGTTTCTAATCATATCTCCACCGATCCAGTCAGAAGCATCAACAAAGAGAATGGCAGATGAGCCCAGTTTAGAAGAGTCTCTAACGGCTGTAAACAAAATGACATCAGTTAATCCTGTGGAGCCAAGCGAGAGCAGAGGTGAAGCTGAGCGAGTAGAGAATAAGTCGAGAGCTTGTTGTTAGAGTTGAGCACGCGGCAGACCGGTTTTGAGTGAGGTTGTGCAAGTTTAAAAGGTGAACATCGTTCTCGCTGCACGCTCAGTTCGGTGGCACCAAAATAACAGCATAGATATTGAGCAAAAGAACACGATATTTAAAGTTTGCCTGAAAACTGTCTGGACTACCCAAAGTAACACATCCAACCTCCACCACCTACACCACAACCACACTGTTAAGTTCATAGATGTGCAAAAGGCTCCATTATCCTTGCGCAAAAATCGTTTGCAAGAGAGCTAACATTTTTGTTTAAACCTGAAAGGGTACAAGACTTTACTATTTGCTTAACAATTGATATTACTTAATTATTTAATATTACTTTAATCAATTAAATACCATTTAAGGAATTCAATTAAAGGGATAGTTCGGTATTTTTGACATGAATCTGTATGGCATCCCGATCACCAGCGGCATGCAATCACACTGACTTACCCCTGGCAGCGTCCTGTGAGCAGAGTTATCGTCCAGTTTTGGTCAAGCCGAAAGTAGTCCTGCAGGTTTTTAGGAACAGCGAAATAAAACTTTTCTCTTCCCAAAACATTATGTGTCCAAAAGAGTGATATTTTCGCATCCCAAAAACATTGTAGTGGAAAAAGTCACACGTCGTTATCAATTGGTCCTATTTTCATCCCTCCGCCACGGAAGGAGACATGGCTGTTGTTGGGCTCGCTGTCTGAATGACGGCGCGCACTGATACGAACAGAGAGAAAATAGGACCAATTGATAACGACGTGTGACTTTTTCCACTACAATGTTTTTGGGATGCGAAAATATCACTCTTTTGGACACATAATGTTTTGGGAAGAGAAACGTTTTATTTCGCTGTACCTAAAAACCTGCAGGACTACTTTCGGCTTGACCAAAACTGGACGATAACTCTGCTCACAGGACGCTGCCAGGGGTAAGTCAGTGTGATTGCATGCCGCTGGTGATCGGGATGCCATACAGATTCATGTCAAAAATACCGAACTATCCCTTTAAGTAAAATGTAATGTGATTTATTCAATGAATAAACTATAAATAGATCAGTTGCATTTCCTGCATGTGCCTTTATTTCTGAAATGAGGAGCTGGAGCATTTATTTTTATGCCGAGTTTATCGTGATATTGAATTGAGGTCATATCACCCAGCCCTAGTACAGTAACGTAGGAGCATGCAGTGTGGATCAGTGGATGGACTGGTGACTTTAGCCTGAAACCTGATCCAACAATGATTAAAATATATTTAAGATGGGATCAGATCAGTTCTCCTTAGTCGCACAGAGCAGGAAGGGAGTCGTCATTATTTCACAACCAAACCAGTTATTGTAAATTAGGCTGTATTTACAAAGAGACTCGCTACTAAATGGTGTTAAAGCTCCAAGTTCCACATTCTTCCTCTTTTTATTATTATATTTTTTATTAAATTTTCTTAATATTTTTTTATTTTGACAGGTTTTGATCTATTTTTTTCCTTTTTTTTTTTCTTTTTTTGTTTTGCACCCCTGGGTCCCCCCTGCAGGAATGACCTCAGCCTGTCCAACGTTCCTTATTCTGCACAAAGTCAGCCTTAAAATGTCAGTTGTCAGGCTGTTTGATTCCCTTCCATTATTTATTTTTTTCCAGTCATATTTTCATGGCGGCACGCATCAGCATGACGTCACAGAAGCCTTTTTTGACAGCGGCGATGAATCTCTTCGTGTGTTCACTCCAGTCATTATTGGCTTCACAGAAACTGATTTCATGCTGCACTAATAGGAGGTTACGCAACAGGAACGACTCTTTTTCGGAGCGGAAAATGAATTTACTATCCCAGCAGCTGCTGCAGATGTCATCACGGTGAAACAAGAGGTCCAGAGAAAACAAGAAGGCCCAGTTCACAGTGCAGAAAATCCAACTGACTGTAAGGTTGTTCATCAGCACGAACGTTCTTCACGCCGATGAAGTTTCTGGCAGTGGGAGCCACTTCTGCAGCTGCTTTCTGAGGAGGGAATAAAACAGTAACTCAAAGCCCTGAGGTCTTTCCATGTCACACTCGGCTCAGATGACATTTCTCTCCCTCCTCTTTGGATCAAATTTAAGCATCTTCCTGGAATTTAAATCAAATTTGCCACTTTTTTTATTCTAAAGAATGCTCATAAACCTATGAACTGATATTCCCCTTCCACACCTTTCTGCACTGACAGACAGGAAATGAGGGTCTTACTTCCTGCTGCTTTGGAATGAAATATGCCGAGGTCGAACCACATCAATTAATACTGTTTATGTCTCTTCATTACTTCAGTTCGTCCTCGTTTCACCGAGCCGGCAAAGATGAGGAGACGAGTCATCGAGCGTCCGGTGGGCAGCTCTGTGCGCCTGAAGTGCACAGCGAGTGGAAACCCCAACCCAGATATCGTCTGGCTGAAAGACAGCAAGCCTCTGGTGGATGAGGAAGGGGGCGAGAGGAAGAAGAAGAGGTGGACCCTGAGTCTAAAGAACCTGACGCCCGAGCACAGTGGAAAGTACACCTGCCATGTCTCCAACAAAGCTGGGGAGATCAACGCCACCTACAAAGTGGAAGTCATACGTAAGTGTGAGTGGGTGGGAGTGGTGACCTAGTGTTTAGATTAGTGCGTTGTGCTCTGAGAAGGTTGCAAGTACCCGGTTCAATCCCTGGAGAGTGACACTCTGGGGCCCAGAGCCTACACTGCTTAAACCAACACTGCTCCCCGAGCACCGCACGATGGCAGCCCACTGCTGCCAAAGTGGATGGGTTAAGATACAGAAGTGAATTTCTCCATTGTAAGATTAATGAAGTTCAATTATTATTATACTGTAAGTCCTCAACTGTGTTTGACAGGAGAAAGAGAGAAGGTTGAGTTTAAAGGGATAGTTCAGTGAAATCATGGTTTATACAAATACTGCATTATGAAACTGTTTTCATGTCTAAATTGGTTATTTGCAGAGAATAAAGAATAAAAAATAAAAAGAAAGGTAGAGGAGGTGCGCCATGTGAAACATCTACCCGACACTTGCTATACTCCATGCTTAATCAGGCATAACAGAAGCTTTTCTTCTAATTTTGAATGAAAAATAAATTATGCAAGAAAAAAGGAAAATATTCAGGTGTGAACAACAGCTTTTATGTAGTAGACCAACACGAAGCTGGCCAGGTCTGCTGAGTGGAATAAAACGGAAGCCCGTTTCCACCACTCTCATAAAAATTTGATCTCATAATTAGGACTTACCTATCTGAGAAATCTAAGTCATAATTATGAGAAATAACCTTGTTTTTTTTATGTCAATGGAAGAAACAGACTTCCTAAGAAGTAAAAAGATAAGCATGCACTTTTTTTTTTTTTTTTTTTTTATAAATATAACACAAGAACACATTGATTAATCAGCAGTTTAGGTGGGAGAATATGTTCAGAGGCCCCCCATACAGAGGAAGAAGGAACCCTGCTACGATGAAACCCAAAACTCTATTGGTTGCATCAATGCTTTTCACAATAAACCATCAGCGATGATTCAGGTTATAATGGGACAGAATGGGAAAAATTTCAAACAGTAGGAAAGCTTCTGCAAATCAGTAAATGTTTCTTTGAGTCCATGTTAATTGCAAAGCAGACATAAAAACAGCAAATAGAGGTTTAATTCAGCTTCTAAATCCTTTTATTTATTTATTTTCAGTGTTGGTTATTGATGACCTCCAGTGATGTCAGTAGACATCCTTTCAAGCCAGAGAGGAATGTTCAGCATGCTTTCTAAAATCCAGCTGCAGCTTTTATCCAAAAAAGGTTCTGTTGTTATATTCACAGCCCATGTGATGAGTTGTGGTTGAGATGCGTTGGTTTTTTTGTTGGACGTCTGCAGGAGCTGTTGTCAAGCGGGATGATTTAACATCTCACGGCTTGGTGCAGTTGGAGCTCAATGTGTGTCTGTGTAAAACTGAAGGTTACAGCTCTGTTGAGAGGCTCAAACCAGCTCTCCTGACACTTACATCTGCTCTGCATTAGACTACAGCTGTAGGCTTTCCTGAAAGCACCCCCACACACACACACACACACACACACACACACACACACACACACACACACAAACACACAGTCATGCATAAAATAGAAAGAGCATAAATCAAACTGCTGCTTGCTGATGTCAAATGTGACATTCAGTCGTTCGGTCAGGAAGCAGTCAGCTGTCAATCATGTGCAGGACGGCTTCTAAGAACCCTACATGAGGAAGCACAGGTCAGATGAACAAAGATGCTCTAAGGAAAAATTTACCTTCTGCAAGTTGGGAAGCTCTATTACGGTGTTGCAAGATTTGCCTGGAAGCTCGGAATAAAAAAATGTAGACATTTTGCACCTTAAATGTAAATTTTATTTTATTTCATTATTCATCTTCTGTCTGTTGCTTTGGTTCATATTATCAATGATATAATTTTTAATGAGCTGAGATCAGCATGAAGCCAATTGGAAATTATCTTAAATTATATAAAACATACAGTTATGCATTCATTCTTCCCCTTAGTACAACAAACAAAAGATGTAACAGATTTTCTTGGAAATGAAGTATTCTGGTGGGCCCACAACAACACATTTAAGCAATAAAGGAATTAAAAAGAAAACAGCACCTCACGTCTCTCCCAACATAGTGGTGGCAGCATAGTGCTGTGGGGAGATGTATGAATCTAAATCAAGGATCAAACTGAATGAAAAACTGATAGAGATTGAAGAAGACCTGAGACCTTCCAGCAGGAGAACCACCCAGAACATTCAGCCAGAGATACAATGAAAGGCAAAGATTAAAGCAGATGCATGGGTTTTAGAATGGCCTAGCCAAAGTCCAGACCTGACTCTGTCTGAGAATGTTGAAAACTGATGTTCACAGATGATCTCCATGCAGTCAAACATAGCCTGACAGAGACATTTTTTTTAGAAAAATGATGGTATGAATGAGAATAAATGGAAAAGGTTAAATATTTGTTAATTAAACTGTGAAGCTAAGTGTGCTGGATTCAGTCGACCTGTGTAGGAACACTCAGAATCAAAACATGCTGACATGGTTTTATCTCTCCCCTTCAGAGCGAACCATCTCCAAACCGATACTAACCGGCACCCACCCTGTCAACACCACCGTGGACTACGGTGGAACCACGTCTTTCCAGTGTAAAGTCCGCAGCGATGTCAAGCCTGTCATCCAGTGGCTAAAAAGAGTCGAACCCGGTGATGAGAACAAATTCAACTCCACCATCGAGGTAGGAAACACACAGCTGGAGAAAAGGAAGCTTTGCAATCAACAGAGAGCATGATTCTGAGCCTTTCATGGTTCTTCTGAAGGTCGGAGAGTACCGCTTCGTGGTGCTGCCCACAGGAGAGGTTTGGTCCAGACCAGATGGTTCATACCTCAACAAGCTGCTAATCAGCAGAGCCAAGGAGGAGGATGCTGGGATGTACATCTGCCTGGGAGCAAACACCAAGGGCTACAGCTTCAGGAGTGCCTACCTCACCGTGCTGCCAGGTTGGCACTCCATCCATTTAACCAATCAATATTACTTCTTTGCAAATGCTAACTTTTTATTACCCTTTGATTAGCGTCAGCACACTATTAACTTGCCTGTCCAGAAGGAAAGCAGAAACATCTGCATGGCTGAGCTTAAACAGAGCTGGACTGATGTTTACCTTTGTTTTGCTTCTTTTTTTCTGCTTGAATCTGAGAAATGTGGCGCCTAGAAGAAGCCATTTCTCAGCTCTATCATGAAGCTATAGCCTAGGAAAGCCTGAGCTCCATCCCACCTGACCTCAACCTACTATTGGTGCAGAACTCTTTCTGCACTACAAGTGCAGTACTTCTTAACTAGAAGTACATTTTTATGATTTGCACCCATTAAAATGTATAAAACAGTTATTTATATGCTATATGTTTTTCAGTAAAATGCATACTTTTATTCTGCACCACTCTAGACTTTAAGTGGGTGTATTATTTTTAGAAAATGAGATGTTTTGATGACTAGAAGCTCTGACTGTTTCAGGTTAGCGTTGCATATCAGTGTGGCGTATTTTTCCCGTAGCTATTGATATGGATTCATGTTGGTCCCATGTGACTCAGTGTTGTCTTGTCATGGACTGGCTTCCTCTCAAGGGTTATCCTTCCCCTTTCAGACAGGTGAGCAGTTATAAATGATTGGAGGAATTGAAATTCTTCTGTTTTCCTTTTCTGCAGATCGGAAATCTCAGCCCAGCTCCATCCCGCCTGTTCCATACCAAAGCCTTCCATGGCCCGTCATTATCGGCATCCCGGCAGGCGTGGCCTTCATCCTAGGCACCGCTCTCCTCTGGTTCTACCAATCAAAACGTACATGCACCTCTTCCTCCTCTGCTCTCCCCGCCGCTCAGCGTTTACCTGCAGCCAGCCGCGATCGCGCCTGCCCAGCGCTCCCCGCACCGCAGACCACCGCAGACAAAGACTCCCTCTCGTATGAGGAATACCTCGCCCATCAACAGCTGCTCCTGGCTCAGGGAGGGGCTGGTCTGGCTCCCAAGGTCTACCCAAAGATCTACACGGACATCCACACGCACACCCACTCGCATGTTAACGGGAAAGTTCACCAGCATCAGCACATTCACTACCAGTGTTAGCAGTGAGCACAGAGGCTACAGTGTCACATTTCAACCTCTTTGGTGGACATGTCGGTGTGCATGCAGATGCAGTCATAACATGAAAATCAGAGCAAAGAACATGGAAGAGACCCTGCAACTCCGCTCCAGACGTGTGACTGTTAACGGACCTAAGGCTGATGTACTGGAGGACATAAGGAAATCCTACCAAAGCAATAGCAGATGGTTCTGTGCTGTCTTTACACAAGCACAGCTTCCTCTGAGAACTTGGGGCAGACAGCATGCTAACACCACCAACGGCTCCTGGCACCATCTGGCTACGCAGCATCCTTCTTTAACATCAACCCAACTGTGATGGAACAGCAGCAACAAGCTGCTCCAGTTTAACTTTGGAGCATGAAGCGCTTCACCTCATTTGAACACGCTTAACTCCTACAGAGTTTTATACCTTTGAACACTCTAAGGAGAAGTCTCATGAAAGTATTCACACCTTTTGACCTTTTTATACATTTTTTGATACGAACTTCTTACATGCTATTATAACTGTGAAGTGGAAGAAAAATGGAGTAGAATACAATCATACCCATTATTGTTAGCTGATAACATCTGAAAGTGTGACGTGCATTTGGCCTCATTCCTCTCCACTCCAAACCCCATAACGCTTTAACATATTCCCCTATTGAAACATGGTGGTGGCAGCATCATGATGTGGGAATGCTTTCCCTCAACAGGGACAGGGAAGCTGATCAGTTTTTATGAGGAAATGGATGGAGCTAAAATCCAGGACCATCGTGGAGGAAAAGCTGTTAAAGGCTGCAGAAGAGCTGGGACTGGAGGGAAGCTTCACCTTCCAACAGGACAACCACCCTGAACATTCAGCCAGAGATATGATCGGTAGATTCACCTGGTAAAGAAGCCCTGCTGCATTTACTGAGGAGAAGGGAAAATTATGCAAAAACAAGCTGTAGTTTAAAGGTCTTGATTGTAAGGTATGATTAAAACATTCGTTTTTGACTCATGCCACACACAAAAAAAAGTTTAAGGGGAGTGAATACTTTTGTGAGGCTCCTGATATATGAGGTTATGGTTCATCTTTTATCCAAAAAGCTGTTTTCCACAAGCCTGTTTGAAGTAAGTTTTATGATCATATTGGATTCATTTTGGCCTGAATCTCAGACTAAACCCATCTGAGCCAAAACAAACTGCTGTATCTCCAATGAAGACAGAACCAGGCTCAGCTTTTCAGTCTGAAAAAATCCAAAGCTGCAGGGTGATTCCTCATTAGGTCCATCTTCATCCAAACAGCTGGTGGACTGATCTAAAATACCTTTGCAGTAGTAAGCTTCAGATTTGTTGCAAAGAAGCTGACAGAACCTGTCAGCAATCGGAGTGATTTCCTCCTTTCTGCTGCAACATCTCCTGTTCTGCTCAGTCTGATCCTCAAACATCACGGTGATGAATGTCAAAGTCTTTTAGTAATTCCTTCAACATTTCATTGATCCTTGGAGAATTTAAACAGCTTCAAACTGATGGACTTAAAAGGTTTTTTATTGTTTTTCTTTTTATTCTTTACCTTCCTAATGGGGTCTATTGTATGATGAATAATTTAAAGTCCAAGAGACTTAGTTTTTTGTTTTGTGAAAATTAAATTAACTTGTTAAATTGCAGACCCACTAATAACAAACCCAAGAAATGAATCAGTAAGTTCTGCTTAATTTAAGTGCTATGCATTATTTTCCCTTTTTTTTCTTTTTTTAACATACTTTGTCCATGGCACATTTTTGAGCTGTTTTTGACCTAGTGGATAGAAATTTGGAAATTTTGCTTTCAGATTTATTTTCATTTTCTTTCATTTAATTTCTGTTTTCTTAGTTAAGTCATTCTCTAGGGCCAAAAGAAACACAATACAACAAATAATCACATCCAGAACATAATAAATACATATTTGCCTTCAAATTTATATATTTCATGGTTTAAATTTTAATATAAATAATTAATTATTGCATTCCAACCATTAATCCAATCATTAATCGAATATTTTTTTCCCTAGAAGATCTAAATAAATAAATATTTAATTATTAATTTAAACCCAGATGTATTCTTTTAAAATTATTTGAGGTGATTTTCTGTATTTGGATTTTCAAATCAAACATTTATTATATTAAAGGTACAAATATCCCCAAAAATTTAAATTTTAAGCAAATATTTTCAATGATTTAAGTTCCATATTAATGCTGATGATTTAGATAAAATTCTAGTTAATACAAAAAAAAAACAATCTTAAGTCAACTTTCTAAAGCTGGAAATTTTTATTGAATTGTTTTTAATTAAATTCCTCCATCATAAATGTATTTTATCACTCCTTATTGAGCCTCATGTCGACTCTAACTTATGATTACATACTGGATGAATTGTAGAGCAATTAGCTTCTCTACAGCAGCGTTGGCTCAACCCACATGTTTCCGTTTTGTATTCCATCTGATATACATGAATATTTCTTTATGCATTAAACTTTAGTGCTTTTGGCCCTTGATAATCCAACATCTCTTCAATGCGTTGCAGATTTTAGATAAAACTTGAACCATTTTTATTCTCACTAAGTGACTTAATTTCAGACGCATCTGTGGTCCTTTTAGATCAAGTCAAGCCAGTTTAATGAAGCATGATCACCTGTGAGAGGGAAGCTGCTCTGAGTAAAATCAGAACAAAACGTGTCAAACTTTCAAAGGAACTTTTGTACTTTTTCAACTCTAAGGCTCCATTCAGCTGCGTTTCTCTGTAGTTTCTGCGTGCGCTCATCATGAGACAGAGATGATGGCATGAATTTCTCCAAAGACATTTGAAAGAGAAAAACTAAAGCTAACAAAAATATTAAAATGTGCTTAAGGGTAATGTGAAAAGCCAATATTTTTCAGTGCAAATCTTCCTGAGGGTAAAAACCACATCTACAAGAACCTTAGAGGGGCGTTCCTGTCATCACTCTGCAGGAAATTATGGACTGGAATCATCTGGTACCTCCAAGTTTTAAGGATTTTTTTTACTTTTCTTCTTTTTTTTTTGCACAGCTCTTCAAACTAAAGAAGGATATTTTAGAAATATATTTTTTATAAATAATGCTTATAATACTGTTTATTTTTACCTTATGTTATCTGTTTGTCAGGTCTTTAGACACATCATCCAACCAATACTCTCTACCATTAAGCTCTGCACTGACTGCTGCCTTAGCAAGCCGAAAATTGCAGGCCGACTCTTTTTACAACCCACCAATTAACGATATGCTCGACTGCAAGCAGCTTCTAAAATGTTAGATTTCTTCTTCCTGTTGGATGTTTTTTGTGCCCTAATTTTTTATTTAAAAGAAATTCTTCAACCAGGAACATTTTCATGGAAAATGTTTGTACTTCCAAAAATATATAGATATATATAGATATATATTGACCACTTTTAGTTAGTTTTCTTATCAGATTACAGTCTGTTACTGGTTAGAGCTAATGGCAAATTGTGTCTAAGTGAACTCACCACTAATACCCACATGGAATAAGATGAGAGTTATAGATTTCTTGAAAAAAAAGTTTAAGCTTCACCTACAAACCAGGACAAAATGTATGATCAAGATTTTTTAAAAAGGAAGGTGTGTTTTTAATTTATTTTTTGGTTTATTTTTCCATATAACGGGGCATTATACTGCATGAATGGATATTGTGTTATAGTCATAATGGGAGCTTTGTAGCCTATATTATGTTAATGTTACTGTAAGATAATGTACATGTTCTGACAAATTATACAATTTTTATTGATTATCTTCATAATGACAATCCTGTACAGATCTGGCATAGTTTATAGATTAAAAACGGTTTCCTGTTGCATTATAATTATGTTTTTGGTGCCATTAAAACATGAAAAGCTGTTAGTGGTTATTCCCTTTTTTTTTTTTCTTGTTCAACTCAACATATTAGAATATAACGAAAAGGTTAAACATATTTTGTCCCTCACTTCAGGATATCAAACCCATTTATCACATAGAATCATTTTACACAGAATAAAATACCAGGCCTTTATAATTTCACTAAGCACCTCCATAAAAGATTAACAAAACCCTGGATTTGGTATCATATTCCTCAAAAGGCTGTGATTTTCCTGCTGGTGCATGTTTCCTTCCACCTAACTTTCTATCGTACAGCGGGGGGTTTATGTGTAAATTATTACATTTTAAATCCATTTAAAAATAATTAAGGCCAAAAACAACAGCCAAAACAAACCCTTGCAGGGATTTGAACCCAGGACCTCCTTGCTGCAGGATAACCACTGTTCTGTCCTGCAGCACCCAGATTAGAAAGGGAGATTTAGTCTGAAAAGTTTCCCTGAAGCACAGAGGATGATCTGTCATGCCATACCAAAGCAAAACAATAGGATGTGGAATTTAAAAGAAACTAATCCTGGAGATGGAGCCTCATTGTTTATTTTTTTTCAGCACCCTAATTGGTCTTTCTCACTTTCTATTCTCCCACTATCTGTGAAGATTCAGTTTTATCTGTTATGTTAAACGTTCAAAGATTGAGGAGCATCCAATGACTTATAGATGGAGCACAGGAGCTGCAGCTGGTGCATGCAGGGGGGATGGATCAGACATAATCATGAGTCAGTAAAAGCTCCTACAGGTCTGATCCTAGACCAGCACTGATGCAGCCACTCCTGCCACCATGGGGCTGTCTCTGACGATGGTTGATCTCTAAATAGTTCAAGCCCTCAGTTGTGGGTTCTGCAGCCAACATTTTATCTTTCAACGTGGCTGTCTGCAGAGATGACAGATGGACAAGTGTTGCGTGCAAATGGAGGGTGTGAAGGCGCAGTGCCTCTCTGCCTCTGACTCATTTAGGAAAGGAAGATGATGAGAGAAAACCCAGCTGAGAGGATGAGTGCTGCAGAAGGACAGAGGTGGTAACAGAATAGGGCATGAAAGCTAAAGCTCAGACCGTGCTCTTCAGGTGTATTGGAAATGTTTGGTTTGAATCTCGTTTACCTATTACATGTTTAAGCATGTTTTTTAGCAGTAAATGATCAAATCTGTGGAGATATACTTTTTAAATACCTGCTATAAAGTTTTCAGGAGACTTTTCAACATTGTTTGCTGTCAGGTCCTTAAAAATTGTGACATAGACTAGAACTCCATGCTATGTTCTTAAACTGAAGACTTTCATCTTTACTGTACATCCATATCAGGTGATCAGGTGTATGAATGTGTGAACAACAGTAACTGAACATTTTGCTGCTCAGCTTTCCATGGCCATTTGTTAACTCATCACTCATTTTGCTATTTCTAAGGAGCAGATAAACATCCAGGGTTCATTTCAAGTGTCACATTTCTGTTCTGTTAAATCTTAATATTGAATCCTAAGAGCTATTGGCATCAGTAAAGCATGCTTTTAGTATGCTAAAATATCAATAGCTTAGGCTCAGCAACAACAAATGCTGGAAAATTACTGGAGACAAATAAGGTGAAGGAAAAGCTGTTCACAACAACTGGCAGGATCAGATCACGGGTCACCATGGGATACAGTAGGTGTATTTGTGGCTTCATCAGAGAGAGAAAAGGGAATTCACCACAAGGTGGTAACCATTAGTTAGCCTTGAAAAGTTTTTTTTTTAGATTAGAGATTTAAAATAAATACATCTAAAAGAGCTGTCACAGTTCTGGAAAAACATCCTATGGACAGATGAGGCAAAAATCTACCCGTACCAGACTTATGGGAAGAAAAAAGTATGGAGAAAAAGGGAGCTGATGGAATTCAACATCATTGAATCATTGGGGTATCGTCATGACATGGGCTTCTAAGCCTTTCATTGCAACTATTCTGGGCAATATTAACCACTGAACTCATTGGACTCTGCTTCATAACACTAGAGAAAGCTAAAAAACACATATTACCGTAAAGCCACAAAACAGCTTTTTAAGACAATGCAGGAGGATGTTTTCAATGGAAAAGTCAATTACCTGACCTGAATACTACTGGGTGTATATTTCTCTTGCTGAGAACAAAACTGAAGGGAAAGTGTCCCAAAAACAAGCAGAAACTCGACAAAATGTACTATTTTTCAAGGCTGCACTTTTAAAAAGATGAAACTGTCCAGTGAGCTGTTTCCAAATGAAATTTGTTTTTGTTTTACACTTGTGTAAACAAAATGACAAATAAAATCTGTCTAAACTGAGGACATTTGCCGTAGAGATGAAAACTTGGATTTAGTGACATCTATGGCTTCAAGTCTTCACACTGGGATTGACTGCAAAGGATTTGTAACCAAGTATTTAAAACTAATGGGTGAGATCCCTTCAAAAGTGGGAGGCACACATTTGAAGGATTGTTATTCCTGCACTTTTCACCTGTTTGGTTGTAAATATCCTTAAATTGAAGCCCAAAGCCTTCAGTTTAATTACACATTGTTTCATTTCTAATATATTTTTTATAAGAAAATAAGTATTCTGTTATTTTTTCCAATATTTGTGGACCTGAATGTAAGCATGATCATCTCAAATATCCTCCTGCAGTCTTTGGTCAGTTCCTCATCAGAGAACATCTCAGGGTCCAAAAACTGTCAAACAACATTCCAGCTTTTCTGACACCTTTTTCTTGGCAAGGAGATCAGGGCTTCATGCTGCTAGTTTGATGGTATGCTGAGGGTTATTTTATTATCCGTTTCCTGTCTGATTTCTCATGTTAATATTTCCATATGATGTTCCATTCTGGGAAGAGTGTCAAAGGCCAACAATCCTGCAGAAAAAGTAAAGATACTTACTACTTTTCTCCGATTGGAATGAGAGTCATCATGTCCAAAAACTTTTAGTTTAAGTTTGCTCAGACTAAAGGAAACTCCTCTAAAATAGTCTATTTTTATCTTAGAGCAGTTTCAAACTGTAATCATGTGCTTCATCTTGTTGTTGGAGGGATGGCTTCTTCCTCTCTGACTGGCCATGTTGGTACAGAACTTGTTTGACCTCTTCTAGCTTCCACAGCTTCTCCACCAGGTTTTTAAAGCTTGTCTGCAGCACACAGAGCTCCAACAGAATCATTGTCATGATGCCATTAAAGGAAGCAGCTTTTTTTTGGGGTGACCTCCTTAAACTTTGTTTACAGTTTCTCACCATCAAGTGTTTTTTTTCCCTCTAAACCTCTGCAGTCGTGCCTTCTCTGGCCATTACAATGGCATACGGCATGTCTACTGGCATGGCACGTGATTTGACCTTTAACCTTTGCTTTCTGGGTGGAGGGCTCTGCAGTTGGTTAGTTAAAAGGGCTGGAAACTCATACAGGAGATTCTTGGGCCCTTAAGTCAACAGCAGCTGCGGTTGGTGATGAAGAGAAGCTACCCAAAGAGCTCTTTACCATCAACCTTCTTTTCACTTTGAAAGGAGCACTCAGGTGAAAGGAGTCAATGACCATGAAAAGTTCACACACACACACACCTGGGAGAGGCAGATCACTGAAACCCGAGAGATGCAGATGCACATGCGCCCTCACCTGCACAAAGTTCGATGACGTCCATGTGCAGCGTGCACACTCAGATACTCGCAAAAACACAAAAGCATGCATGCATCACACACACTTCCAGATGAGAACAACACAGAGACACCTGGCTGGCATTGAAATGCTGCTCTGTTTGCATATCTCTCCCTCTCTAATCATCCTCCACACAGCCACAAAGCCTCTATTAAAACTGGGGAAACAAAAACACAAAAAGGAGCAACAGGCGGCTTCCATCCTTCTTCCACCCATCCCTTCCCTCCATCTTTCCCCCCCTTTCTCTGCTGCCCATGGGCCAAATGTTTACCTTCCTCCCATGAAAAGAGAGGGATGTGGAGCGACAGGGTGAGAAAAGAAAGAGATCTGACTGAGGGGAAGGAAGCCAAGGCTTTTAAAGTCTGCAACAGAGCCGTGACAGAAGCCTCCTAATCTCGGTGTTGTCTTTCGGCCCCTTTTTCTCGCTCTACATCCTGCCAAGTTTGTGTCTGTGTGAGTGTAAGGGGGTAAAAGAGGGGAGGAGACAGTCACCGCCTGGACATGTGCTTTGCAAGCTAAACTGTGTGCACTCTGCTTAGACAAAATGTTTGAGAAGACTTAAGGAAAAGCCGGTCTGTGCGTGGATAGGAAAGAGAACATGATGTCCGGTATACAGAGGCTACAACCTCTCTTCCTGCAAGTGATGGCGGCTAACTGGTTCTGAGGCGGGATTGAAGAATATCAGAGAAGTCAGATCTGTTTTTGTCTGACTGACCAATCATCACTTTTAATGATTTGCCGCTGAACAGAGCAGCTTTAAAAGCTGTTTGTGTGCAGTAGGCTTATGATATGAGGACATAAAACCTGTGCAAGCAGAGCTTCTTACAGTGCCAGTAAACCACTTTATCTTTCAATGCGGAGCTTAACAAAATCAAACACAAATTTGTAATTCAAAGAAAATCATTAATGTTTTTAGGAATAAAACATAATCTTTTGTTGCACCTCATTTTACTGCCTAACCTCAGACTGAATGGAGGGGCTCTGCAGCCGTATCTTTGACTGGATGTTCAGAGTTGTTGTCTGGTTTGAAGGTGAATTTCCACCTCAATCTCAAAATCCCCCCCAGCATGATGCTGCCACCACCATGTTTCACGTTAATGCTGTGTTCCATTATTTTCATGATGCTCATTTTTCTTTAATGTTCTAATAAACCTCTGGAGTCTTTATAGAAGAACTGCAGCTTTAATCCCACACAGATTCACCCTTGTTCTGCCCAAATAATTTTTTTTTTTTACTTTAACCTTTAATTCATGTCAGCTTGCTATGTGTGAACAGAATGTGACTTTGGTTAGACTTTTTTAGGCAGTTAGTTGCCTTTATTTCCTCCTTTGACTTAAATGTAATCCTGCAAAA